AGCAATTATTTATTGAAAAAAATGATTAAAAGTTACTTATGGATTATATTTAATAAATTTCATCAACATATAAAAAATGTCTCCAGTCTTCTTTGTTAAATGATAATCTTTTTTCCACTGGTGACTTACTACTGTACTTGCTTTAAAACACACTAAAAAAAATCCAGCGAAGAATTTAAGAGCAAAATAAGCATACAGGTACCAGACTCAACGCAAGACACCTGCAGATATGCTTTTGAAAGCAATATAAAATACCAGTTTATGCTGGCATACAACACAAGGTGTAGAAATAATAGTATGAATTTGGTTCCCCCCCAAAAAGAAACTCAAAAACCTATTTTTTGTGAGCTTGTACCCCTCAGCTACACGAGCTTTGTGCAGGACACGTTTTTCTCATTGGTGTAAGCAAAATGTGTACTTCTCAAAAATCTTCAGAGAGGGAAACATTATGAAAACAGTAAGACAACTGAAATAACTGTGCAGGTAACTCAGGTCCCAGAACACTTGTATACTCAATTCTTTCCAGTTACAACTGTTGTAAAATTGATGATTAAAGAAAGTATAAATCCACGTGGACACGTACTGCCTTAGGTATTGTCAGACACCTTTCTGTGGACGCTCAGAAATGTGCTTACTTCAAATGCAGATGGAGTCAGCCATCGGACATTGCAATTTTATGCAGAAAGAAACAAGTAGGAGCACGTTTTATAGTGCAAAAGCTGCAACTCAATGCTAACGAAGCAGGCTACAATCGATGAAAGTAAGCCTACTTACTACAAGTTATCAGCCTATCGTTTGGTCTTTGATGTGTTTTCCTGGTGGGTGTGGTATGGAGTACTTGCACTTAAAAAACCAGACTACCAATGGAAAGAACATCAGTTTCCTCGCCTGCTGCAAAGACAAAATAGGCGTTAATGACAGCTTTCTGCCAAAAGTGGGAAAATACTTACAGCACTGCTGTCTGCTGCTCTACTTATCTTCTCTTCCCACAGCGAAGCAGTGCTCTGTCCCCACCCACAAGGACTCAGGAAAGCAAAATACTGTCAGTCACCTCAGCCACAAACAGAGAAGCTCCACCCTCCTCTCAAATCAGATGACAGGAATAACAGAAATATCTGAATACAGTAGGACACAGAAGACAGGCAACAACTGTCTTCATAGTAACTCCATCTTTTCAATTTTCGTAGAATAATCCTTCTCTTTACATAATTCCTTCTAACTTGATAAATTCTTGCAAGTAGAATGCAAAAATATTGAAAAAGTCCTTACACAAAGTGAGACTACTTAAAGAAAGTACCGAGCCTATGAAATAAACAGAAATCAGTCATCAAAACATCTTTAAGTAAAAATTGCATGAATAAGAACTGTATGAACAGTACTGAATTCTCACTAGCACCGCCACCTGTGGAGTTCAGTGTGCAGAACTCTGGAAGACATCCCACACCTAAGTGACCACAACAATAAAACAGAGTGGGGCTGAGATTGCCTGGCACTGGCACTAACTTGCAGAGTCAAATCCAGACACTCCCCTGAACACACCTGCTAGACTCCCCATCAGGCCCGTGCCTGCAAGATTTAGTGGGAAGTTGATCGAAGGGCTGCTGACTTACACTCTACCCTTCAGTATTAGTGAGAGTGTGGAAATATAATGATAGTTCAATAATATAGTGAAAATATATACATTTAGGCATTTGGTCTGCACAAGCTTTTTTGGAGCTGGGCTACAGTATTTGAGACAGCTGCAGATCTACAGTCATGGAAAGGGCGAGCTTTGGTTGTCCTCGCCCTAGTTTTGGGGACTGACACATTACTTGTGCTCAGTAGCCGCGCTCTGCTGTGGGTTTTCAAGGCGATTTCAGGCTGGCTTGCTCCCCAGGTAACAACTCCATTAAGTGCTTCAAGACACCACTGCTGATAGATACAGCTAACTGAGGTGTGAGGCACATGCTTGTGATACACGTGGTTGTTGTTGTTTTTGTCTGTCAAATTTACACATAAATTAGAGGCAGGTTCACATATTTTAATAGTACTTCTGCAAACAGCTCCTGTATTCCCCAAACTCTGAAAGATGTCTTTAGAGAAAAAGAACGTTATATTAAAAGCATCTGAAAACTCCTAACAAGGTGAACTTCAGTACACATACCTTTTCCCTAGAAGATGTAAAAAAACTTCAGCAGAATCTCTTAAAATATTGATTTCTTGAGCTCTTTCCTTCTGCTTGACTGCACAACTCCAGTATCACACAAAAATCTATGACATGCCACACATGACATGAGATCTACACAACATTTATACAACATGCATTTGACATGTGACACTGTGACACGCCAGATGTGGCGTGACATTACATACGTGACACCTACGTGACATGACACGATGCGACATCAGATGGGACAAGATATGTGTGACCTATGTGACATGCCAGATTTGGCACAGACTTCAGATTCAGCAAGTACGGCACATTAGAGTTACACTGCATCGTATGTCAGATCAGTGCCCTGGCTGTGGCCTCGACAGGGTTAACTTCTGCAGTAGCCAAGAGTGGACACCTAGGACAGTTTGGTTATTCTGTAACACTTCACATTGCCAGGGGCAGGGAAAGTGGAAACTCTCTTCCCTCCAGTCAAGAAAACATAGCAGAAGGAGCTGTCCAATCTTACCTATTAGTGTGTTTTTTTCCCCGTGTGAATAATTTCTTTTCCTGTATCCACTGTCATCAGCATCGTTGACGTAACTGTTCCTTTTCTTACCTCACTGCTGTTTCCAACTAATAGTTCTTACCTCAAACCATGATCTTTTGTGCTTCGTTTTCCTCTCCATAAGGGGAAAATGGGAGACAGAGCAGGTGTAGTTTGGAGTCTCAGTGGGGGTATGGATAGGGAAGCACCGTTCCTAAACTACAACATGTGTCACTTAACACGTATGAGTCGTGTAGAGTCATGCAGAGGTGCAGCAGGAGTGTCTGTATGTGTGTGGCACGTACAGAAAGGACACACAAGTGCCCACCACCCCACCCTTCCCCATACACGCACGTGTGCAGGTGCTGCCACCCCAGATGTCAGTTCTACTCAAGCAGAGAGAGGCTGAGCTCAGTCCCAGGGCCTGCCGGGACTGTTCATGCTCACAGACCTGTGTCAGCCCCACATGTGTGATGCACTGTGTGCATGTACCTGCCAGGAATCCATCCTCAGGCTCCCGGATGGAACTGCAGCACTCCTGCCTGTCTCTCAAGCTTGCAGGATCATACACTGCAATTACTGAAGTTGCTGAGGAAAAACCTGGATACGAGACCTGCGTGCTTCCATTGGCTCAGTGCATTCTGCACGTGCTGTCACCTAATCAAGGACTGGTCCAGATACAAGAACTGGATCCATGCTGGTGACATCAACTCATTCCTCGAGGATACAGTAGTCAACACATGGTTTTGACAAGCCTCTCTCTTCTTAAGGCAGCACTGGAGTTCCATGGAGTTTCAGTTTGTTTTGTTCAACTAACAAAATGGCTGAAATACACAAAAAAAGCTCAGTACTTGTAAATATTTAAGGCTTCTAAGTTAACTACAGGAAACACCTTGGTGCTGATATATCAGCAAAAGTTTAAGCCCACCTGGAAAATCAGTCCAGAAGTGTACAGAACACTAACACACAAGTGGTATGTTACATGTATGTCAGATTTCACATGTATATGCATGCAGATATGGCTAAGACATTGTCAAGGAAATTTATTGAACTTTTAACACTCCCGGAAAAAAGGTGACACTACACCTGGAATATGATGGCCATTCTCCAGCACTCTAAGAAAAAAACACATTACATGGAGCAGAGAGCACGAGGAGTTAAGTGCCACAAACACAACAAACACCACCACACAACCTCTCAGGTTAAAGGAAAGTTACAGAAAGCAAAAGATCAAATTAGCAAAAACAGAAAGGCCAAGAACCAAGTAATAGCAAGTCAGTGAATTTCAACAACCTCAAAGTCCAGCGTAAGATCATTCTCAGAAGCAACTCCACATACTAGTTACAAAAACAGATTAAGGAAAAAAAATACTAGAAAACGGAGTTTTAGAATCCTCTAACAATAAGAAGCTGAAACATGACAACAGTGCTAATATTGATGTATAAGAACACTACCTAACAGCTTTCTGTAACAGCTTTCCACACTGGGATGATGCACAAAAAATCAAGTGACATAATCAAAGTGTATTATGTAGCTTAAACACACTAGTATTTCACACCACCACACAAAACCCAAGTATGGCATTTAACACCCTTTTCAACTTTATCCCAATGCTACCATATTCTTACCAGAAGTCACAAGGAAGCAACTTCCCCCTTGATGGGTACCATTTTTCAGATCATCATGTACACAGAAAATTTTGTGAGGACTTGTCAGCGCAGTGATGAAATCATCTGAGGGTGGGGAGGAGCCCAACTCATCCTCAGGCACTAACATTGATGGGTTCTGGCTGAAGGAGCCTTGTTTCTGGTGACTTCCACACCACATTGCCATTATTTTCCTACTTACAGCTTTGACACCCGTAGAACACTTTAAATCCACCTCCAAAACCAGTGACTGGCACTCAACAGTTGATTGACAGCTGGTAATTCGAAGTTTCACACTTGGAGGTACACAGACTACTTTTTAACCCTCCTACCACAAGCAATACATGGTAAACTAGAAGCCATTTGGCAAATCCACACTACACAAAAAACTCTATTTAAAGAACTAGCAAAGGATGGATGCCTACAGAGATAAAGTACAAACTGCTCACTGTTGTTTCTAATAGAGATTCTCACATTAGTATGCTTTTTTTTGCTTTTTTACAAAATCCAGCTTTTACTGATATTTTTTTCTTTCTTAAAAGTAATATATGAAAAAGGCAGGGGAAAAGAAGAAATCAGTATACAGAAATCCTGAAACAATCAGGAGAAAAAAAACATGTTAGTGACTCCATGAGGTGGGACTGTGTGAGTGGGGGTGAGGGAGCTGAAATTACAAAGCTGTTGGATACTCCTACCTCTGAAAAAAACATCAATTTTAGGAACAGACTGAACTGTTACAGATGATTTAACAACTGCATTTAAACTGAAAAGAAACAGTTCTGGAATGATTTTCTTCCTCTGAATGCAAACTTACAATTAAACATTTTACTAATCAGAACTATTAGTCTACTGAAATAGATGATCCAAACTGACTTCACACAAAATCCACCTCCCAGTCAGTTACTGAACTGTTCAATATGTGGAGACTTCACGATCCAGGATCCGTAGCTGTGCTGCTCTAAGTAGGTCTGCAGCAAGCTTTTAGCTTCTTGGTACAGTTGAGATTCAGCCTGAAACAAGAAAAAGGAAGACCCTGAAGAATCTCAAGAACTATGGTTACAGAGATGATGGTTACAGAAACCAGTGTTTTTTATCATCAGCACACAATATGCACAAGTACAAATGTTGTAGAAAACAGTAACTACAGATCTTAGAGTTCATCTCAGACAATGAGAGGAAGTTTTAAACTCTAAAAACACACTCTTTTTGTATTTCGGAAATTTACTAAGATAAGAAAATTGTTCTAATAATTTTTTTTTCAGTATCTTTTCCATTCCAGTATTACCTTTATACAGAAAAGAAACATTCACTATCATTCAATGCAAATCTAAACACACGAAGACTCAATTAGCAAGAGATTTCTTTTTGAAGTAGTTTCTGAATCATTTAAAAAAATGGTCTCTTGCATGTTTTGACAGGAGGGAAAAGAACCATACACATTGTTTACAAACTGTTCAGGTGAAATTGTCAGCAAAACAAATACAGCCGTGGCTATCACACCGGCTTTGAGAGCAGTCACTAAAGAGACTCCTCAGTGCAACTGCCCCTCCCCGCAGCAGCTCACCTTGGCTTCGTGGTAGGTCGCAAACCGAAGCAAATCACTCCGTCCCGCTTCCTTGGAGAGCAGCCTGAAGCGACTGAACATGGCGGCCTTGCAGAGGCGGCTGGCCATGCAGGTACCGCTCTGGAACGGGGAGCTACAGTCGCGGGGAGAGAAGAAAATAAAAGTCATCAACAAACTAATTACAGGCAGATGGCTCTGATCGCCACAGGGTGTTTTTTCTCCCTCTTAAGTTTTGTGAGTACTACCCAACTGGAATTCCGATGCTAACTGATGTGTTGTGAAAACATGCATTACAACAAACAACGGATTCAAGTATCTCCATTCAAAGAACTGTTTTGTTTCACGTCTTGGTATCCCGCTGTGAAGTTACAAGAGCTTTCTAAAACTGCATCTCATCATAGGATGCATTCAGTTAACACAGGAGAGAATGTCTCTCATGCTCTGGCCTCCATGCGTAGCTTAAAAACCGAATACTCCAAAGAACCAGCACAGAACAATTAGGTTAACCGTGATTTCCAAGGAAACGAAGAGAAATCCTAACCTTTCAGTGGTTTTTCCACTTATCCCATCCACAACCTCCACGGATGCATCTGTCAAGGTCCAATTCAGACTAAGAGACCGCTGGTTTAGATCTGTTTGAACAGGTTGTGCAGCTTTCACCAAGTAAATATGAGATCTGTTGACCAGGTAAGGCATGGGAAGCTTTGAGACAAGCTCATCATCAAGGCGCTTCTTTATAGATATTTCTAGTCCTTTTGTATCCTTACAATTTCCATTTCCTATTGAACAGAAGATCAGTCAGACATGAGTACATTAAATCGAAAAAAAAAACCAATAAAAAACTAAGAAGGCAGATGTTTCCGCAGATGTTTCTGCATTCTTAGAAATCACACTACAGTTATTTTTTCATATAAAATCAATGTGTGGAAAGATCAGCAGATGAGCTCCAATATTCAATTTACAGAACAAAAATGATTTCACACTTCCTTCTCCAGAGGCATCATTGTTTTCACTGGATGCCTTCAGTTTTGAAGGATTATCTTTCATGAACTCTTCTTCTACTCCCTGCAGAAGACAGACACCACTGAAACAGAACTTGGATATTCCAGATTAGAAGATATGACAGGGAGTTTGCCCACATTACTCCACATCCAACAGCACTGCTGACTGCCTATAAATAAATATACTTTGGTCCACTGCATCTCAAGGAAGTGTCAACATTTCTATTGTAAGGGCAATAATAATTACAGATTATGATGTTTACTTTGAATGCTACTTAAGTAAGCATTTGAGAAGTTTTTCTATTGCTTTCAAGTAATGAAATGACACTGTCACCTTAAAGTCACCATTTCAGTGAAGAGTAAACACAGCATTCGTCACATTTGATTTTTTCTCAATATACAAAACTTGATTCATTAGAAATAGCTGAATTTCTTCTGTTACTCAAATATACAGTAAAGGAAGGGCTGGCAATCTGAGCTAAAAGAAACCCACAATGACTGAGTTTTACTTTAGGGCATTTCAAAGATACGTGGAAGATATATACACCCTTAGCACCTTTTCAGAAAAATACTGTAATTCTTTAAAGAGTCATCTTGGTTTAGTTCATATTTTATAAAATGATAATCAAACTGGAACACGAAAACGTACGAAGCCCCCACTGAAATTTGCGTCAAACTTACCCACAAGAATATTGCTGATATACACCGGTTCAATGAAGTGACTCAGCAAGGCTCCCTGAAGACCAACCACCTCCCACTTTGTCAGCTTGTCACTGCCTGACATGCTGCTCACTCGGACAGTTTTAGGGGGACAACAAACAGCCAGGTAAATCCTGCCTTCCAGAGCAACATGGAGACTCACTTGTTCACTGGCTTCGTAAGCAGATATAGATTGTGGAGAGAGATGTCTACAAGTAAGATGAGAATGGATTTCAGTGAGAAAGCACTGTCATCAGAGATTATTGTCAAGTGATATCTAATACATTATTAGAGAACAAACACCTATTTTTGGCTTAAGTAACATAACACCACCTGTTAGTAAGTGGCCACACTTTGCTACTCAACGCACTACTTGCGAGTAGCTCCCTAATTAAAAATATCTTTAAATAACTCTACACATAAGCCAATCCACTGTATTAGAAGAAAATACTTCTCTGAGTTTGTGTCAAGACAGGACACACCAGAAGGGGCAAAAAGAGAAAGTGGTGAACCTGCGATCCATCAAGTATTTCAGGGTAATTCACAAACGCATCCCAGACTCATCAACCAAGTCTGTGCAGGAGCTACAACAATGAAAGTCACCTAAAACCTGCTGCAGTTCTAACAGGAGGAGCTCCTGCAATGAACTGGCTGTGATTTCCAGGTCAGGAGTCTGTCTTCCCAACCCCCCAAATTCAGCATGAAAGCAGCTAACCATCTTGTATGTATGAAAAAGCTAGGACAGTATGACGTTATTCCACCATATCAACAAAAGGGGACACAAAATAATGTTGTCCATCACTTGGTAAACCAACGACTGCTGCTGTTAAATATCAAAACTATTCAAAAAAATCCCAAACTTTCAGAAATTTAACAAAAGTTAGAAGTGTGAAGATAAGCACAGGATTGTATTTGTCCCACCAAGGTTCTCTCATTACCTTTTATCTACAAAGCACAGCAGTAGACTCTTGTTTTAATTCCAAGCTTTTTGAACTCTAATCCTGTGGTGCAAAGGATGACATTAAGTCATCACACCCACTTGATCAGGGGTTAAATTGATGGTTTATTACTATTTTAATTGCATGAGAAGGGGGTTAACGGATAGTCTTCTGTAATAACCAATCTTCCACTACAACATCTCAGAAAACCATGGTACTTACAAATCTGACTTGAACTGAGCAGTTCCTTTTGGAAGCTGGTTCATGTAGAGAGAGAGAGTTGTATTTTGCTTTAGGGTGAGCAGTTTGGAGCCTGGTGCTGTACAAAATATGGATCTCTCCACCTTTGCCGGGTTTTTATTATAGAACAGCAAGAGATGTCTGTACAAATACCTAAAAGAAAGCGTTAAATTAACAGTAAACGTTAAAAGAAACTGCTTTGCTTACTAATACATAGACACATTTAATTCACGTGATTCGAAAACAATCCCAGAAGATACCAGCTATAAAATGCAAGTGCAAAAGTAAAACTGAGAAGAACCAGCAGCAATGGGAACCATGTGTAGGCACGTACTCACCTAAGCAGGGAACGCCTGGCCGTGACGATGGCGTGGCTGTCGTGCAACACTCTGCCACAGGACTCCAGGCGCCGGCTGTAGTTACACTCCCCTGTTCCCAGAGCCACAACTTCGTGCTGTCCACCTTAAGAGAGATGTGGAAGGTTCACCTGCTCTGGCCGCCAGGTGCCCACCAAGCTGCTCTCTGGGAACAGCCCAGGCTTCCCCAAAGCTCTCGGTCAAAAGAGACTTGCCTTTTTCGATGATGAAGGCAGCCAGTGAACTCCCACAGCTTCGGTACTCGGGGTGCTGGGCAGTCAGGTTGGTAAATACTTCTTCCAGTGTTTGTGAAAGTTTTAGATATATAGACCGTCCTCCCAAATAGAACAGAAACCAGTAAGACAAATTCGCAAGTAGCGGGGCAAAAAAACCAGACGTGAACAACCACTTCTAAAATTGTAAGCCTAAATACATGGGTAAGCACTACTGTCAACACATACTTTTGGGATTCTGAAGATTACCAGGATTAAAAAGTAAGATCAAGAATACCTAAACACTTTATGCTTTTATCATTCATTATAATAATGCAGCACATGGATCAATTTTGATCACCTACTGCACACTAGTTCAAGTAAGGACAGAAATACTTTTTATTTATACTGCTTATTTCTGTCACCAGTTCACCACCTACATTCAAGTCATTTAATGAAGCTTCCACTTGTGGAACCAACCTAGTGACACTAATTCTTACAGCCTTCTTCAAAGAGAAGATGTTTAAAATAACAGTACCATACAGAGATCACTAAATGTATTAGAAGAAGAATTTAAAAAAAAAAAAAAAGGATCTGCTTAATTTGAATCAACAGAGAAAACCAAGATTCTTCCTTACCAATGCAGGTCCTTGAAAGACAAGCAGAGTTTGCTGGAGTTTGAAGCTCGGCAGGAACACCGGGAAAATCTAAGAATTCAACAAAATTTTGAAGTGGGATGGACACTGTTCATTTTTAACGTGAATCTCACACTTACTTACAGCAAGTCAAAGCTTCTAATTCCCTAAGAATTTCCTTTTCTGTCAGAAGTCCTTAAAAGTTTACAACTTTTTTAGACAGCAATCCTTGAAAAAAGATAAATATTATAGTAATTGAATTCTCCTTAAAGCAATAACTCAGTGAAGAACCCTTTTAATCATAAGAATTTAACACCACTTGAGATGTACTTCAGGTTGCTGCACCTAATGAGTAGCAAATCAAGTGACACAACAAGTAATTCCTTCAGTATTCCTGGCTCTGTGCTACCAAATGATAATACACAAATGACAAAGGAAAAAAATCAGTTTCAGAACCAAAAGACAGATGTGCCCAAAGGATTCAAAAAACGTGACAAAGGCCCCGATGCTGAAGCTGTTAATAAACCCACAAAGGTTTTACACAGAAAACCTTTAGGCCAAGCTTTTTAAGCTCTAATTAGGTGTTAAAAGGATCTTTACCTGAATCTTTAGACGAGTTTTCCTCTGTATTCTCCAAGCTAAATAGCTCAACAAGAGCCAGTTTAGCTGCATTTAATTTAGCTTCCTTCTTGTTTTTTCCCAACCCAGTCTTGTAGCAAACACCATTTACCACAGCACAAAAAGCAAAATAAGGCCTTATGATATCACCTTTAAAGGAAAAAAAAAGGCAGCCACAATCACTGAAATTATTTTAAGGTAATTTATCCATAGCTTTGTGCTCTTATATTAATGCCTAGAACGAACACAAGACAAAAAAGATAATTTTGGCAAAACACAACTCGTATCTTTCACCTCCATGAGAATTTCAGCGTCTTTCACATTACGCACATTTCACAAAGTTCTGGCAACAGTCAGAATTCTACACAATTCATCTGATCAAGTTCTGTGGCACTTTATCATGAGACACAGCTGTGTAGGCAATAAAAGGGCAGCCAAAAAGCAATGTATGTGAAGGGTAGTGCAACCAACAATTAAAAAAAAAAAAAAAAAACCACAAACAAAAAACCAAAAACTATACTAGTGCCACCAATACTAACTGCAGAAATTCAGACAATTTCAAAGATAAGCAAATAATTAGCAAATATTTAGGAAAAGAAGTATGTACCTGCCACACTAGTTTCTTTCAACTGAAGTTGCACGTTATGCATTTGGGCAAACAGATGCAAGGCCGATACTGAGTTTATTGCTCCCTCTTTATATTTTGCAGTCAACTCCTTTAGCTGTTTCTGTGAAGGAAGCGCTGACAACCGGGGTGTGTGTACCCCTTTTTGAAAAGAAAAGGCTATTAAACAAAGCTGAGAACTGAACACGCTGAGAGTTTAAAGCTGTTTACAGTAAATGCTTTACAGACGCTTCTTAAAAGAACAAAAAGCAACAAGACGTACTGTAGAGCACTACTGCTTTGTACTGAATCCTACATTAACACCGCTAGCAATTCTGAAAAGGTACGTATATCCTCTTTTAAAAGCAGCAAAGCTTTTTTTCTTCCTTCCCACAGTAAATCCAGCAACCTCTGAATACAAACATTACATATAAACACAACACATATCCCCCTCCCTCCCTCCTCAATGATCCAACCGAAGTTGCTGATGGCAGATTCAAAAAAGTACAGCCTGTGGTTTTTCACACCAAACTACGCAGCAGTGGAACTCCCTGCTGTAAGATACTGTAAAAGTTTCAGCAACCACTACAGATGGATAAAATCACCAGCTTCAGGGGTGTGACATACTCAGGCACAAGTTATCTTCCAGCCAAGAAGAACTACAATAAATCCTTATTTTAAAGTCGCATAAATAGGGGTCTTTATCTCAATACAGCTATTCAAAGTGACAGATTGAAAATACGTCCTGGACATCTGGAACTGCAGTTTTCTCAACGATATCTACTAAAACTCATGCAGCAGAACATGGCCAAAATAAAGCCTGTACCTCTACAGTACTTGAACTTCGTAATTATGAAACACCACAGACAAAGTACAAGAGCCTACGGCAAATCAGTAGCCAACCCGCAGCATGCAAAAACATATAAAGAGAAGGAACAAATAGGAGGAGACGCTAAGGAAGCCATTAAAGAAAATACAGTGATAAGAAAAAGCAGCAGAAGATTTCAACACCATTAGCAGCTAATCCCGGTTTATAAACTGAAAACTATACCTGGATTTTGCATCACCTCTGGTTGACTGCGCCACTCAGAAGGTGGAGGATTCAGCCCCGCAGCCACGGGCTCCTGGAGCTTCTTCCTAAGTGGCCGCCTGAAAGCCTCAGGTGGCAAAACCCTCTTTGGTGTGGGGTCAAAGGCAGGCATCCCAGCGCCCTGAAAACAGCCATTGCTGCTCGCCATTTTCTACCAACCTAAGGAAATTTTAACAGTAAAGCTGCGAGCCGTAAAGACACCCCGCAAACTGCAGTCTTCCCAACTGAGCTGCTTCCAAGAACACCACAAACAACTCGCGCTCTGCCTCCCACAGGCTGGGGCAGAATCCAGACCTCTTGTCCTTCCAGCTCCTTCCTTCCCTGAGCCGGTGTCCTCTCCACACCCTCCCTTCCCATCCGGCACCACCACCTTGGAAGCCACCTCTCCTTTTAGTTAACCACCTTCCCTCAAGCAGCCAGCTCCAAGGACGCGACAAATCCTCAACCGGGTCTCGACGGGGCGAGGTAAACCACGCACACAGCCAAACCGGTCCCTCCCAGATTTCCAGGACCCCAGCTGAAGGGTTTGTACCTGCACTCCTCCTTTTAACTCGGAGAACACCTTCACCTCCTGGGTTCGTCCCGCTGGGGATGGTTCCTTGGGGCCCGCACCCGGCGGGCAGGCGGAGCGCGCCTGAGGGGAAACGAGGGTCGAGGCGCGGGGGAGGGAGGTCCCTGCCGCCCCGAGGCGGTGGGTTCAGACAACCGAGGAACCCTCGCAGCACCTCAGACCGCCCTGAGGCGGTAGGTGCGGACAGCCGAGGAGCCCTCACAACACCTCAGGCCACCCTGCCAGAGACTCCGAGCGGCGAGCCTTTAAAGGCGGGGAAGCCGCCGCCCAGCCCCTGCCGCCATTTCGTGTGAGGCAGCTTCCGGCCACGGGGAGCGGCCGAGGCGCGAAGGGCTCAGGGGAGGGCCTGAGGGGAGCGCGGGGCTGCCCTTGCGGGATAAGAGAAATGTAACATTTTCTTAATAAAGGTTGCTCTTTAATGTTTGATCTTTGTATACGTTCAAGGCTAATCGACAAGAAGGGGGATTTAGTCCTCGAAACGGCAGTTAACAAGCTCCAAGTGATGCCCAGGTCTTAGAAAAACAAATCACTTGGTGGTAGAATTGCCTCGTTAAGGTTTAGGGGCTTGACGAGCTCCGATCATCTCAAACCTCGGGGGAGGTTAACAAAGCTTGGGGAGAAGGATATACCGCTGATAATGGGCACAAATAAAGCAGAATTTAACAGCAAGTGTAGTGAAATCGGCCCCAGCTGGGTAAAAGGTAATTCCAGCAGGGGCAGATCGTGACCTCCCACTCACAGACCACTGACCCAAGAAACCCATCAACTCAAAAGACAGACAGAGCATGCGGACTAATTAGCGTGACAAGAGAGAGAACAATTAACCAACAGAAGATAGAATACTAATTAATCAGAGAACTATGTAACTTGTAGGCAATTTCCCTTGTTTGCCAAAATGTATAAATAGTAAAAAGTTTTGGTAGTTGGCATGATTGATTTATGGAATACCACTGAGCATCCAGGCTTGCGCAACTCTGAAATAAATAATCAATGTCTCTCTCGAGGGTATAATTATTGGCTTGTTGCACATGGGGTAACAAATCAGTTTTGTTTTGTTTTTTTTTTATGGTTGAGGCCACATTTCCTGGCTGGTTTCCAAGAAAGCTCCTGACGCATGCCCGTTGGGATTGGCCTAATTTAAATCACACTCTGTGCAAAGTTACACTTAAAACACTTTCTTCTTCTTGTTCGCCTTTCTTCACTGAAAAAAAAAATAAAATCCTGTACAGTAGTTAAATTTTATTACAAGTGTAATAAACTTCATGATTTTTAGCACTAAGGCAATCACAGTTTCATAAGTTATATATATATATATATATAATTTACACCAGTCTACATTGACAAATCAATTACTGGTCACATCAACAAGGGGTTTGTGTTATGGCAAATAAAACTTTTAAGAAAATTCACAGTTAATCTGCAAGTATTGTAAAGATGCAGGATCATATTGCACATAATAAAACGGACGCTGAGGAGCAGATTTACAGTGTTCCAGCTATTCCTTCACAGAATGTACATTGGTCATCATCATCATCATGCAATAACTTCAAATACAGAATGGTATCAAGTACCACGGTAAACAGTTACTCACAATGTAAGTTTTAAATAGAGTAGCAAAAAGCTGTTAGGTTTCTCTTTAAACCATATTTAAGTTCTTAAAATATAATAAAACACTTTGATAAAATCAAACGGAGTTACGGTTGTCACATTGTATTTTTAATATTCTTCCTTGTCTTTTCCTTTCTTTTCCTTCTCATCCTGTAGTGCAGTACCGAGTTTCTTTATAAGGACTGACAAAACTTTGTCCAAAGGATCCATGACACCACGCTGCAGCCATTTAGGGATAGTAGTCCTTGCATGGTGAAAGCCCAGCTTTTGGAGGATGTAATCAACACCAACGGGATCAATTTTTCTCCCAGTCCAGGATATTAATCTATAAAACCCCAATTAAATAGAGAACTCAATCTCAAATATATAAATATAGCAAAAAGCATTTGTATAAACAAAAATTGATTTTTCCCACTGTTACTTATGACCATCTTAAGTCCAACAAGCATTGTTTCAAACTTGATTTATACAGATAAGCTCAAGGTGATCAATGAAACATCCTCTTGAAGGAAGAAGATGTTCAAGGAGGTGAAAAACCTGACTGGGCTGCCTGCAGATCACGTTTAAATTGATTTATTACTACTGCTATCACAAAATGCCAACCGTGTCAAGATTTGTTGTGTTGTTTTTATATGTTAAAAAAAACCCAAACAAAACCCCACACAGAGAAAAGTCAGTTTCAGTTGTGATATACAGAGAACAGTGAGTTGCTGCCACACACACTATTCTTTTGTGCTAAGTTTAAAGTGCCATATAGCAACGAGTATGTTATGTTTTTTTTATTTTAAGGTGTTTGAAAACGAAAACTGGAATGCTAAAAATGGAAAAATGCAAGATGAAAAACATGAAAGTGAATGGGCTGTTGTGGGACAGAGTGAAATTATTAAGTTTACTCTTACCTAATTTTGAAGAGCCTCCAACAATATCCTTAATCTGCCTAAATTCTAATCTATCAGTTAATGCACAGCCTAAGAGACTGCAGATAAAGCTGTTTGTTACCTGAGTGTGGGTTCCAAATGCCAAGTATTGCACATGAATTCTCTCCAGTCAACTGTAGTGTAAGTAATGCTTTCCTCTGCCTCCTTGTCAGTGGAGCTCTCCTCCAGAACACCAACTGAGTTCTTCTGCCCTGGTCGAGCAGCCAAAATGCGAGGAGGAAAAATTGCTGCAAAGTGGAGAGAGGAAAAACCCCAGACTAGTCAGTCTCAAGCAGCTCAGTTGAATTCTCTTTGAATTTAAATAAAACAAAGGAATAAATAAATAAAAAACCCCAAAGGAACAAAGCAAAGAATGAACATACCAAATTTGAATGTTGCAACTGAACACATTCATGTAGAAAAATAAAGCATTCTGAGGTCAGCAAAATGCATGTCTTGAAAGGACTCCACTGGTGAAAGGATTACAATAAAAATAATAAAGCTTCCTAAAACAGTTTGCCATTTGTCTATACCATCTCACAAAGACAAAGTTAAACTAAACACCAGGTGTCAGAAGAGGAGCGAGATTATGACGGACTGTATTTACTGTCACATAATCTGACAACCGCAGACTGTCAGAGAAGTGTTACCTCATAAAACAACAACTCACCTTTTTCTTTTTCTTTTAGATAAGCAGACACCAAGTCATGCAGAAACATGATCAGTTCGGCATCCATAGTTACACATATGTGGTCTGTAAATTCAGTTACCACACTGCATTCCACCTTTGGTTTAACACTTGTATCTACAGTCAGATAAAAATAGTAGTATTAACACATTTACAAGCACTTACAGTATAGGTAAAAGTACATAGAATTTGAATACAAATCATTTAAAGATTTGAAGTCTGAAGATACCATTTTGAAAACATGAGCATAGAATTTAGGCTCCTATCTCATATTCCCTTTTTGAGAATGGGCCTCTAAGTTTTAATAACTATAAGAAAACCAACCCCCTAGACACACCAATCTAGTTGAAGTGTTCATATTAAATCTCTCAGTTTTAGTCTACAGTCATCGGTCTCTGGACTAGATCTTTACTCTCTCAACAGAATTCCCTCTACATTTTATGTAGAAACATAAAATGAAATGTTCCTCCACATGAAATTTTATCCTCTCTTGAAGATACTCAGATTAAATCCTCTTCTCTTAACAGCACATTACACCCTTGTATTTAACTCCTCATTAGTGAGAAACAGTTTTAGGCCAAGAAAAACAAATTATCTTTACTGCACCTTGTAATGAAGGCTCTTGGGGCTCTTGAACATGGATGGATTTAAAATCCAGCTGCATCCTTGGCAATGCAAAGATGGTTTCGGTTTCGTGGTTGTAACTGGAGCCACCTCTGAAGCCACTTAGCAAGCTGGAGCTCTTCACTGTTGTGCTGCTCTCTGGGTTGTTGGCATCAACGTTCCGAAGCAGGTTCAACTCTGCAGGAACAATGGGAAATGTTTGATTGTGACAAGGCAAAAAATTTAAAAGAAAGGTCACTTGTAAAACTGTGTAATTATTAAGAAGATCATATCTTTGAGCCTGCTCCCAAAAGCATGGCTAGAAAAGGCTGAACAACCAAATGTTGCTTATATACTTAAACCCTTCACAGGGCTACACAAAAACATCTAATAGACAGGCCTTCTGTTTGTGAACTTCAACCACTACCTCTTGTTGTGTCTTTCTAAAGGAATAAATATTAGAATAGTACATCAATCATTTAAAAATACTTTTCCAAGAAATTATCATCTGTTCATTTCTCACTATATGCCATATATATTTCACAGAAGTTCTGTTAACGTCAACTACTGATTCTGTAGTTTGTGACTGAAATAACTGTATTTTTAGATTTATTTTAACAGCATGAAGGTTTTATTTTCCAATTAACAATGACTTAAAGATGTGATTCAAAATGTTTTAAGGCCTAGAAACAGCTCAAGGTTGAAAAGCTTTAGGCAGACGAGTAATTTAAGGGTTAGCTGTAAGCGCTGATGGAAAGCTAAAATTCAACTTAATTCATAAGACCTTTATATACAGCGAAAATATACCCTCATATTACAAGATCACAACTGAAACAACACTTTTTTTGCATATAGTCTAAGAGGAATTTCAGCATATTCCTCTACTTCATTCCACAGTTCACCGGAGGGACCTCAGGAAGAAACAACGTCCATTCCCCCTGTAGCCCACTTCAACTTCAGCAGCTTTTAAACAGCAACATCTGCCAGCAGATCAATCCCCAGACTTAATGAACACAACTCTAACCTTCATTCCTCGTGGCTGTCACATAATTGAACCACTCCTTCACACTGGCAACTCCATGGGGGGGATTTTCGTGGCGCCGCCGCGTTATCTTCGTGATTGTGGCCATGGGGCTTTCGAGGGCTCCACAGGGTTTGGTCACCATCGTGTTGTGGCCCAAATGGAAGTCCAGGGTTTGCACAATATATGTGGAGTGTTCACTAGTACCTGGATTGAAGGGGGGAGAGAGAAAAAAAAAAAAGGAAAAGCAGCTTAGTGAGGATAGTGGGATTTTTTTTCCCTCTCCTTGTACAGGTATATAACATGAATAATTAGTATGCTGGTGGAATAAAAACTGGTAGAAAGCTTGCAAACAACAGAAAAATTACATCTTCAGT